GTAATATTATGACTTCAAACTCATAATATCATAACTTTAAACTCATAATATTATGATTTTATTCTTGTAATATTATGACTTTAAACTCGTAATATTATGACTTCAAACTCATAATATCATAACTTTAAACTCATAATATTATGATTTTATTCTTGTAATATTATGACTTTAAACTCGTAATATTATGACTTCAAACTCATAATATCATAACTTTAAACTCATAATATTATGATTTTATTCTTGTAATATTATGACTTTAAACTCGTAATATTATGACTTCAAACTCATAATATCATAACTTTAAACTCATAATATTATGATTTTATTCTTGTAATATTATGACTTTAAACTCGTAATATTATGACTTCAAACTCATAATATCATAACTTTAAACTCATAATATTATGATTTTAAACTTGTAATATTATGACCTTAATCTCGTAATATTACGACTTTAATCTTGTAATATTACAACTTTATTCTCATAATATTATAACTTCATTTTTATACGACTTCAATGTTGTAATATTATGACTTTATTCTCGTAATTTAAAAAAAAATAAAAAATATCTCGTTGTGTGGCCCTAATACTCAAAGCACTTGACTTTACATGACTAAAAATGTAATAAATCACATACAAAACTAGAAGCAGTCGGAGAGTGCAAACTTCCGCCAAGACCAATTTCCCCCATCTTGTGATAGAGTTACAAAGGGGTACACCAATACTACATTGCCACCTGCTGGACACTTTGAAACCCACACCCTGTGAAAACATCACAGCTTTGCCGATGTCAGAGTGTTAAAAGAAAATAAATTCCTGATCCGGAACATCACCAAAATTTAGTGGTGTGCTCTTTGGCCCAGTATCCATATGTGGTAAAATTGTCATGACAATACGTCCACAAGTTTTTGAGTAATGTTGTCCACAGACAGAACGACAGAACAACAGACAGACATATGCGACCGAAAACATTATCTCGCCCTTGGCCGCGGTAACAAACAAACACACTCACACATAAACATACGGCCTTGGCTTGGTGGAGATTTGCGCTCTCTGGGTGCTTCTAGTTTATTTTAAAACTGGTACCAGAAAATAAAATTAAGTAGGTCAGCTGACTACTATTGTCAAAAATTACTTAAAACCCTTTTTGTCATATGTTTCACCGCTTTACGTGCACTTGTTTTATTGAGAGAAATGTGAACAGTTTCTCATATACGTACTTTGGTTTCTGTTATCTTCATCTCTGCTTCTTTAAAGGGCCAATATTATGTGTTTCTCAGGCATATATTTAAATACTATACCATAATAAAGTATCTATGTCACCTTTAGTTGTTATTAAAATGCTTTTTTATCTGTTGGTTAATTGATTGTAATAGAAAAGATTACCATTTGGATGTTGGTTTTGTGTATGGTTCTCAAACAACCCTGTCAAACTGGGTTCACACCAAAGGCATTTTGAGCAGCAAAAACGCCTGACACCTCAAGTTGGATCGACGCACTACGTTCAGACTGGGACAGAGACTAGATGCGTCTGAAGAGAGTGGAGCATTTTTTTTCCGGTCTGTCTTTAATGGCGGATGAAATAAAGATAAAATAAAGAAAATGGCTTTGCTTTGTTTACTAAGAGCAAGTGAACTTTGACCTCACCAAATAATTAATTCACCACATAATTTAGAGGGGGTCTGTTCGGTGAGTTAAACTCCAGGAGCTGCAAGCTGACAAACTTTTTTTTGTCCAAGCCCAGTTTAACACTGTGGTCAGTTTCAATAAGCCTCTGACCCACATAGGTGCTGATATCTCATACCAGAACACCAACTGCAGATGGTCAGTTTTAGCTAAGAGCTCCTGTCCGTGTGTTTCGGGTTAGTGGGCAACATTCAGGAAACTGTCATGTGGAAAAATTTTCTCTCTGATTGGTTGCTGCGGCGCATCGAGTAGCAAAAGTTACATTTTTTGAACACAAGCGTCGGCTGCTTTGGACGTACCGCATGCACGGAAAATGCTCAACCGCACGTAACGCTACCTTGTGCGCTGCTCTAAATGGGCTGAATGAGCCGTGCTGCTCCTAGACACATGTCCACCATAGACTTTGCATGTAAACTGGCTGCTTCGGCTGCTCAAAATGCGTCCGATGTGTACTCAGCTTTAAAGGCAGAGCAGAAGACTTCCAAAGCCTTATATAGAAAGGCAATTGTGGGATGTTCCATTTCCAGGGGTGATTTGATTTTGATTGGATTTGATTTGATTTATTGATTTAACAGGAAAAGATTACAAAAAATCAAGCCTGACTCAGCATAATTG